TGTCTGTCTATCTGTCCATCTATCTATCTATCCATCTATATATCTATCTTTCTCAGCACTTTTTAACCCAAAATGAGGGAGGAAGTCTCGTGGACTGCGTCGACATGAAAATCGCATAAAAGCCAGACGGCTGCAGTACAACGACATTCATCCGTCTTCATCTGGTGAGATTGAGCAACGAATCTCTTCTTCATGCACTTTCATTCGAAATGAAGGTCCCCCTAACAATACTATATCTTGAATATGAACTTTGCTTCGAACGACCATCTTCAAACAAAATGCCACACTTTCTCATATTTCTTTTTTCGCGTGCTATTTTTCAAAATAAAAGCCTCTTCAATCTCTATCCTGAGCCTTCTCGCCTCTCTCCGTATCATATTATTGTATAATGGTTCCTGATCTCCCTACGCACTACTTTCCCCCATTCTCCAAAGCCTATCCCTCCCTCCAGACGTATCATCTGAAATTCTGGCTCAACATGCGTGCATTGAGGTGGTGGATGGCTTTCACCCTGCAAAGTGATTTGATCCACCGTCCGCTTGGTCTCCTCCGCACCCAGACTGCCGTTGTCCACACCACCGGACTGTGCTACACACGGTTCTACAATATGAGACAAGGAGCTCCACCAGCAGCGCATTCGACTGGCCAGTTTGCCAATTGATGCTGGCCCTCTGGCATGGACAACCGCCATTGCTGCTGTCCTCATCATTGGCGGAGTACGGGTCAGCAGTGCTGAAGTGGCGTTGTTGGGGCTGGAGGAGGAGGAGAAAGTGCGAACGCCGAAGTCGCACGCGTCTGTTGTAGAGGCAGAGCGGAAAAGACGAGACGTACCAAGGCAACTGGCGAGACCATGACGAGGGGTGGGCAATGAGGGGGCAAGTCTATGCGCAGCTGAAAAGGCAATTGGAGTTGGCAGGAAATGGGCCAATTGCCGAATATGGAAATAAGAATGCGAAATTGATGTGGGTGAATTAGGATAAATGGAGATGAGAGAGACAATGTGCAGCGTGATGAGATGAGCTTAGCCAGGATACGATTAAATGAGAGTTTAAGAGATTTGATTATAGTAAATACAAAATAATTTGATTAATTTGATGTGAGGTGAGGTGACATGACGTGACGTCATGTTATTTGATTTGATTTATTCAGAGTTGAGTTGAGTTGAGTTGAATTGAGTTGAGTTAAGTTGGGACGGCCAGTATGTCTGATATCAAAGTTCTATTTACCTTCTTTTGTCAAGATGC